AGTAGCCAGAATTACAGGCATGCGCTACCATGCCCAGCTGAATTTTTGATTTATTGTAGAGATGAGGTCTCGCTGCCCAGGCGGGTCTTGAACCCGCGGGCTCAGGCAATCCACTCATCTCAGCCTCCCAAAAGCGTGAGATTACAGGCTGAGCCACCGAGCCCGGCTGATCCTTTTCTTATAGTATTACGATAGATGTTCAAGGTCCACTCATGAGTGAGAACATGTGATACTCAGATCTTTGTTGCTGTGAAAGATCACTCAGTATCATAGACTCTAGTTCCATCCAGGTTGCTGCGAAATTCATGATTTTGTTCTTATTTGCTGAGTGTGGAGTGAGGCAGGAAGACATCAATGATGAAAGAAGTGTGAGGTGGAAAAAAAGCAGAAAGCTGATTAGTGCTGGAGGAAGGTTTGTTCCTCTCCAGCCAAAGCCCATGGGGGAAAATGGAAAGGAATGAGAGGCAATTGTGACTTTATGTTTACAAAAGAGCCTTCAGGTATACCAATGTACACCAAAGCTTCTTCGCAGCAGAAAGCCCCTGCAGGCAGTGCAGAAACTTCCAGAACCCGATCTAGCTCTCATACTTGCTGCATAACTTTGGACAAGTTTTTTTTTTTTTTGCATTCTGACCCTCAGTTTTCTTATCTGTAAAATGGGAATAAGTACACCTCTTTCTTTTTTTTTTTTTTTTTTTTTTTGAGTTGGAGTCTCACTCCTTTGCCCAGACTGGACTGCAGTGGCACATTCCCGGCCACGGCAGCCTCTACCGCTGGGCTCCGGCGATCCTTCCACCTCAGCCTTCCGAGTAACGGGAACTACAGGCGTGCGCTACTACGCCCAGCTAATTTTATTGTAGAGACGAGGTCTCACTAAGTTGCCCAGGTGGGTCTCAAACCCGCAGATTCAGGCAATCCACTCGCCTTGGCCTTCTAAAGTGCTGGGATGACAGGCTGAGCCACCGAGCCCGGCCTATCTTCTTTATAAAATTCTTGTTGGGATTAAATGACTCACTATTTTATAAGTGTATAAAACTTGATAGTGCCTGGTGCAGAATAAAGTCTCTTTCTTATTGATGATTTAATTATGGGCTTTCTTATAGGCTGATTTAATTAAGAGTAGGATTGAGACGGGGATGGCTCAAGCCTGTAATTCCAGCACTTTGGGAGGCCGAGGTGAGAGGTTGCCTAAGCCCAGGGGTTTGAGACCAGCCTGGGCAACTTGGTGAGACCTCGTCTCTACAATAAATAAAAAAAAATTAGCCAGGTGTGATGGCACATGCCTGTGGTTCCAGCCACTTGGAAGGCTGAGGCGGATGCTGCAGTGGCCGTGAACGTGCCACTGCACTCCAGTCTAGGCGACAGAGTGAGACTCCAACTTTAAAAAAAAAGAGTAGGATTGAAAAGCAGGACCTAGTTACAGATCTAATGACATGGTGTAGTGACCTGAGCTTGAATTTTCAGTCTAAATCCTAGCTTCACCACTCACCGGCTTTGTGAATTTAGAAAAGTTATTTCACTGCACTGAACTTGAGTTTTTTTCTCTATACAATAGGAATAATAATACCTCATCAGGGTCTGCATTGAAGAAAGCACCAAGTATAATACCTAGCACAGAACAGCAGACACTTATACGTATTTGTCTTTTAAGTGTTGTGGTTCTCGATGACATTGAAATGACCTGATAGTTTTTTTTAAAGCATGGATACCTAATCCTTATCCCCAGACAGTATGATTTAATAGATCTGAAGTGTGGCTCAGGCCCTGGTATCTTCTAAGGCTTCCTGGGGAGATTCTTATAAGCAGCCAAGGTTGAGAACTGCTCCCTACCAGATGATGTCACATACTGGTCTGGGGCGGGGGGCAGTTTCCATTGTTTTCTTTTCTAAAAAATCTGTCCCCAAGAGACTGGCCAGGAATTCTGGGAATAGTCAAAAATTCAGTACACCTGCAGCTCTAAGCCCTCGATAAGGAATGTGTCGCCAAGGAATTGCATTCCATTTTATTCTGAAAAAAAAGCATTCAAAGAGTCTTTTTAAGAGTCTTGAACTGGAAAGGTGGTAAGAAGTTTAGCCTAAGCCTCACACATAAAATCTGGGAACTCCCAGTAGGTTGGGGCTTTATATCTGGGGGTAATTCCAGGGTTTTGTCCTCCCAAGAGATATACATGGAGGCTTGGAGAGTTTAATGTAGGGGAGAAAGAAGTGTTCTCATCATGACACCTTAAAAGTCCAGGGCTCTGCTAATACCGAGGGATAGAAAAGTGTTATCTGCAGTGGCAGGGGGTGGCCTGCGAGCGCGTTCTGGTCTGTACCTGGTCTCCAAGCTCCAAGGCTAGGTCATGGACAACCTTCCTTCTCCCTGTAGCTTTATGGTATTAGTTACCCAATAAAAGTTGGGTTAATTTTACAACCCAAGTAAAATTTAAGCCAAAAAGGCTTCAGCATGACTCTAGGATTTATGAAAGTAAACATATGGAGTGCTTGCTGAATTGTGCAACATTAAAATTTCAATGTCTTCATGTCAGGTATATGATATATTCATGTGTATGTGTACTTAAAGGTTAAGTTTTTAAGAGCTTTGCCATCGTAGCTATTTTCAGGACTAAACTGAAGGGACTTCCCCCAACTTCACCTTCACAATGACTGCTTTAATGAATGGGGAGTAGAAAGCAGCAGAAAATGAGTGTCCTACCGGGTTATTTTTCACTGTTTGCTACTGTCCCGGGCTTCCTGGATGCAAACACTGAACCCGCAAGTGGCGGAGGGCAGCGCCACAGTGTTGAGCCCCGTCCATTTTATAAATAAATAACGTGGTAAATAACTGCCTTTTAAATAAATGTTCTCTTTGGCAATTGTAAGCACCTTAAGAAAAGTCATGTAGCTGGGCTCGGTGGCTCAGCCTGTAATCCCGTGCTTTGGGAGGCTGAGGTGAGTGGATTGCCTGGGCTCGTGGGTTCCAGACCCGCCCGGGCAACTTGGCGAGACCTCATCTCTACATTAAATCAAAAATTATCTGTGCGTGGTAGCGTGCGCCTGTCGTTCCAGCTACTTGGAAGGCGGAGCCCAGCAGGTCGAGGCTGCGGTGGCCGGGAGTGGCCACTCACTCCAGTCTGGGTGACACAGTGAGACTCCAACTCAAAAAAAAAAAAAAAAAAAAAGACATGTATTATCTCTGCAGTTTCAAAAGGTTTTTACATTAGTTGGTGGGATCGTCATGACTTCCCCCTCGTATGGTAGAGTGGTCTGTTATCACCTGCATCTTCTGGGTAAGAAAACCGTGGGTCACAGGACCCAGACAGCCTGCCCAAGGATGCCCAGATGTTAAATCCAGGAAGAGAATTTTGTTTTTTCTGACTAAGGTGTTTTTTTTTTTTTTTTGGATTTTTTGAGTTGGAGCCTCGCTCTGTCGCCCAGGTTGGAGTGCAATGGCACACTCACGGCAGCCTTGACCAGCTGGGCTCAGGTGATCCTTCCACCTTAACCTTCCAAGTAGCTGGAACTACAGGCACGTGCTACCACCCGGCTTATTTTTTTTATTTATTGTTGCGACGAGGTCTCACCAAGTTGCCCAGGCTGGTCTTGAACCCCTGAGCTCAGGCAATCCTCTTGCCTTGGCCTCCTAAAGACGAAGGTATTTTAGAAAAAAACCAAAGAGATGTTGAGATGTTGTCTTGAGGGGGAATACCCAGGACTGAAGTCAAGCCACAAACTTGGCGGGCAGCTGGTTTGACTCTGGGCTGCCTTTGAGAAACAGCTGGGTGTCCTGCACTCTGGTGCCTTGTGCTCCTCTTGGGCCTTGTGGGAAGGCCATGGCCTCTGTCCTTCCAGGCTGAGCCGACTGCCTTGGGTCTTCACCTCTAGCCTTGGTCTCCGGTCCCTTCACTTGCCACACTGTCACTAATCATGTCACTTTCTTTCATTCCTCTGTCTTCAGGATAAAAACCTTCTTGTTTTTGTTTTGTTTTTAATTACTGCAATTCTGAGGCCTCAAAATTTTAACAGGACTATTTTTTAAAGTTTTAGAGGCACATAAAGGCAAATTTCCACAAACACGCTCTCTCTGTGTGTCCTTGCAAGTGACTCGTTCCAAATTCTCCTGTCCCTGGTTTGCATGGCCCTGTTTGCACAGGGTGGCGATGACGGGTCTTGGGTGGTGAGGGGCCACATAACCAGGCAGCCCTTTGGCTTCTCCAGCACCCAGCTCCTTACTCTGTGGACCCCCTAACTGACGTGTTACAGTTGGAGTGGATCTTGGGGCTGATGTGCCCACGCCTTCATAGCAAATGAAGCAGAAATAATCTGTGCTTTAAAAAAACCCAAAAAACTAAAACATGGGCCCTGATCCCCAACTCATTTCCTCTTGACTCTCACAACGACATCATCTTCCAGCCCACCACCAGCTGCAAAAATAAAAGCATCGTCTCCTATATTTGAGGATGATTTTTGTGCTTCGGGATGGCTTTTTCTGGGGGTGTAGGAAACTTGACCGGTGCGACCAACAGATGTTGTAAGCGAGGCCGGTCTCTCCGCATGCTGTGCCCAACTCCGCCCCCTGGTGTCCATGCGGGGCATGGCGCGGTCAGAGCCAACAACGCGTGCTGTGTGGGGTGTGCAGCCACTAAAGTCCACGCTTTGTTTCCAGAGATGAGTACGAAGAAGATGGATTCTGCCAGCCTTACAGAGGGATTGCGTGTGCGAGGTTTATCGGCAACCGCACAATCTATATGGAGTCTTTGCACATGCAAGGGGAAATAGAAAACCAGATCACAGGTAGGTGACAACACCCATGGCGTCGTATTTGCCCCTCAAATACCTCTTCCTTTCTCCCCCCAAAACTATTGAACTCCTCTCTTCACAAAGGATTAAGCTAAGCATGGGGGGTTGGGAGCAGGACCGTAAAGAAGCGTGAGACGTGATCTCTGTGCTGTGGAATTCACATTAAAATAATTTATTGAGGGTGGCCTTTAGAGGAAAAGGAAGCTTTGAGAAGTCTCACATTCATTCAAACACTCAATAAATATTATCGAGGGTTTTTGGCGCACGAAGAGCTGGCCTAGGCACTGGGGTCGTGATGGTGGGGTGAACGAGCCAGGTATGTCTCTGCCCTCACAGAGCTTACTGTTTAGAAGCAACCCAAAGTAGACTGAAAGGGAATGAACTTGGAGTTTAGAATTCAGGACACGTATCCCAGAACTCTCATTACAGTGACTTTTACCCTTCTGTTTTCTTAATGGAAAGTATTGTTTTCATGGAAGTCTAACGGTGAAGCACTTTCTAGCACACAGGAGTTAGGGTAGTGCAGGACACCTTGTACAGTCGGCACTCCTTGCACTGGTGGCCACAGCCACACAACCGTCTACCCCTTCTGTCAGTGCAGTTATCCTGCTTCTGTGCCATGCTATTTTTGCAGCCCGTTGAAACTGCCGTCATGAGATTCTAATAAGTTGCCAGCTCAGGCAAACAAAAATACAGGATACCAGGTACATCAGAATTTCCGATCAATGACAGTTTTTGGTATCACTATGTTCTAAGTGTTTGCCTGAAATTCAAATGTAACCGTTATCTGTAACTGTCATTTACCTGGCAGCCCTAGGATGCAGGAGAGGCCAGAACAGACCCCAGGCAGGAACATAGAGCAGCAAAAGTTCCAGAAACTGTGTCCTATGAGGAACTGGAAGAAAGTGAGAGAAGACTGGGGGAGGCGGTTTCACCAAAAGTTGCCTTTTACTGAAGCCCTCATTCCAAGAGGAAGAGGACTCCGATATTCCAAAGAGCAGAAGTAGGACTGATAGGGAGTAGCTGTCGAAGACACAGTGCAACCTGCTCTAAGAATGATTTAACGTCCTTTTGACTAAGTATTTACAAAAATGAATGGGAGTTTTGATATAAATCATTAGCAACCCATTTATAATAATCCTCTCCTGGAGATTTTCAATGGTCACCAGCTTGCTGGAAAGTATGACAGCTTTTTGTTAAAATCCATTTAAATCTGTTTAACTTAGCATTTTCCGAACGTATTTGATGGTATAATCCTCGTTTCTCAAACACTATTCATATTTCCCAGAATTAATGTCCTGAGAAACATACTTCAGGAAATGGTGTATCAACAACCTCATAGGCTGCCCTGAGATGGATACGCTTCTTTTCCACAGAGGTATTCAGAGGCAGGCTGGTGCTCTTTTCGTGCACGGATACCCTGTAGGAGAAGAGGTTAAGCTAAGGGACTGCTAATATTCTGTGGCACACACTGGAACCACTGCACTAAGCTTTTCGAGAACCTCCAAGTGAGTGGCCTCGTTTTCAGAAGACGGAGAAGAAAGTAGCCAGGCCACAAAAAAAAGTGGGCAAGTGACACAGAGTCATCCAGCAACTCTTGCTGTGCGGCAGGACACAGAACTAAGTCCTGCACTCGGGCTCAGCCACCACACGAAGCAAGTTCTGCCCTGCAAGTCGAGCTTTTTAGAAGCCTCGCAAAACTAATAAAAAGTACCAGATGAAACACACAGTCCTAGTGCTTTGTAGTAAAAAATGAAAAATATATTGTACTTTAACCTAATTAATTTCTTTATTGGGAAACGGTCATTTAATCCTGTTTTTTTAAATTTGTAGTCAAAATGATTTTTTTCAAGCCAGTGAGAGTAAGCTGCTTAGACATCTGAAATGAATCTTCCGTCCCTTGGCCCCGTCTGTTGGGGCGCAGTGGATTCCTCCCAATGCGTATTTGTATCTGATATGGGTGTACTAAATAACCGGAGGAGATAAACCCCGGCCTCTGGGAGCTCATAATTGTGCTTGTTTTTCAGCTGCCTTCACGATGATCGGCACCTCCAGCCACTTATCTGATAAGTGCTCTCAGTTCGCCATTCCTTCCTTGTGCCACTACGCCTTCCCTTACTGTGATGAAACCTCAGCTGTCCCAAAGCCCCGCGACCTGTGTCGCGATGAATGTGAAATCCTGGAAAACGTCCTGTGTCAAACAGAGTACATTTTTGCAAGGTCGAATCCCATGATTCTGATGAGGCTCAAGCTGCCCAACTGTGAAGACCTCCCCCAGCCGGAGAGCCCCGAAGCTGCACACTGTATCCGGATCGGAATCCCCATGGCCGATCCTATAAATAAAAGTAAGTGTTGGTCTCTGACCTTCTGTGCCGTTCTAAGGGCCGGCAGCTCCATGGCCCTGTGAATGCTGGACCCACAGTCATTGTTCACGCTGTTAGATCACCTTCCAGTGGGCGAATACCGTGCTTGACTCAGTGGTAGATTAGACCTGGGCATCTTCAGGAAGCTTCATGAAGACAATAACTGAAAAACAGGGGGCTGGTTTCTCAATAACTTAGACATGGAATTACCATGTGGCCCAGCAATTCCACTCCTGAGTCTATAATCAAAGGAACTGAAAACAGGTGTTGAAGCAAAAACTCATATGAGAATGTTTATAACAACACTATTCACAATAGCCAAAAGGTGGAAACAAGCCAAGTGTCCATCAGTGAATGAGCGGATAAACTAACTGTGGTATAGCCACACAATGAAATATTATTTATACCTGAAAAGGAATGAAATACAGATTCATGCTACAATCCGAGTGAACCTTGGAAACATTATACAAAGGGAACGAAGTCAGACACCATTGTATGGTTCCATGTATATGAAGTATCCAGAACAGACAAACCTTTAGAGATGGCAGAAAGCAGATTATTGGCTGCCCAGGGCCAGGGCCAGGTGTCAGGGGGAGGGACTGCTTAATGGATATGGGTTTTCCTTTTGGGATGATATAAGTGTCCTGGAACCCAACAATGGTGAAGATTGCACAACATTTTGAATGTACTAAGTGCACTGAAGGTAAATTTTATGATATTTGTATTATGCCGTGATTTAAAAAACACAGATGGGTTGGCTTTTACTCATGCCACCACCAAACAAAAGACTGCTTTTCTGTACATTTCTCTTTCATCTAGAATTAATCTCATTGGCAATGTTTTTGTTTCCTTTTGGTCCTTGCTACTGTTTTGTGGTTTAAATACATGAATGCATCTAAAATACTTAGAACTGCGCTTGGTGCATAGTAAGTACTCAACAGATCTTCATTCCTGTTACCATTAGCCCTCCAAACTCCAATTTAGTTCAACTCAGTAGCTTCTGCAGAGCTTCTAAGGTCTAGCCCCTATGGTCACCTGGGAGGGCTACTTCCTGGATCCTGCTTCTTAAGGGTATCCACCCATCAGCACAGAGACAGCCCTAACTCCTATTAGAAACTCTGGCCAGTCGTGGTGGCTCAAGCCTGTTAATCTCAGCACTTTGGGAGACGGAGGTGAGGGGAATGCCTAAGCCCACGGGATGGAGAACAGCCCGGGGAACTTGGAGAGACCTCACCTCTACAATAAATCAAAAATTTACCTGAGCACGTGACTGTGGTTCCAGCTACTTGGAAGGCTGAGGTGGAAGGATTGCCAAAGTCCAGCAGGTCGACGCTGGGGTGGCCATGAGCGTGCCACTGCACTCTAGCCTGGGCGACGGAGTGAGACTCTGATGAAAAAAAAAAATTCAGAAAGCTCCGCTCTAATAAGGATTTTCTGTGAATTTCCAGCTAGATTCTCAATCACATGATTCAGCCATCCATCAGAATGGATGGAAAAGTTTGACTTGAACCTTCCTTGAATCATTCACTAGGAAATGACTTCTGTGCCCCCAGGTTCTGCCCCAGTTCTGATTGCTTCTGTGTTCCATGTTTAAAATGCTTGTGGAAGACTGATTTTATTCCAGAAGCATAAGCTTTAAATCCTCCCAAGAATGTAGCTCCCAGCAAGCAGGGAGACTGTCCTGCATGGCCCCTGACCAGCAGGGAAGCCGTGGCCACAAGGTTTGTTACCTTCCCTCTCTTCCAGAAGCTGCTGGCTGGGAGCTCCCCTTCTCCTGTGTATCTTTCTAACAGTTTGGGCTTCCTTGTGTGTGTTTTTCAGATCACAAGTGCTACAACAGCACTGGTGTGGACTACCGGGGGACTGTCAGCGTGACCAAATCAGGGCGCCAGTGCCAGCCGTGGAATTCCCAGTACCCCCACACGCACACCTTCACCGCCCTCCGTTTCCCGGAGCTGAATGGGGGCCATTCCTACTGCCGCAACCCAGGCAATCAGAAGGAAGCTCCCTGGTGCTTTACCTTGGATGAAAACTTTAAGTCTGACCTGTGTGACATTCCTGCATGTGGTAAATAGAAGTCCTTGCCCCTCACCTATTCACTCACCCTTAAAAGACCCCTACCCACCCCCACTGGTAGGAGAATCCTGCAAGGGGACAAAGGAAATGGATAGCGTTCACTTGATCTCAGACTGTTTTAGCGTAGACAAGCCTTGATGCTTCTACATTAAACACCTCGGAGGTCCCAAAACACACTCTCAAGGAGTGAGCTGCTTTGCAGACCTCCGGAGGCACAGGTGAGAGTTTGTCGCAGTCATTCCTGTAGAAAGAGAGCTTCCCCAGAATGGTTTGTGTCCAAGTGGACCTTTTTAGCACGAAAGGTATGTAGAAACAGGAAGATGATTGTTTTCTGTGTGTCCTTGGGAACACCCACAGGGCAAGATGACTCGGCAGCCCTTACTCAACCACGCAGGGCAGCCTGCGGACAAACTGTCCCGTCTCACCCACTAATGCTGCAGAGGAGGAATATAAGTGTTCGGGAGGAAAATGGAATTCCTGGGCCAACTGGTTCCTTTTTCTAGAAAATGTTTGGAGGGCAGGAGAAGGAGAACGAACATGTTGGCGAAACCTGGAGTTTAGAGCTGTTTTGGAACTGGCTCATCTGCCTGATTCTAGTTCTCATAGATAGTGCCGAGTTTCCCTAGTTATCTTAGATACTGCCGGGTTTCCCAGGCATGGTGGGACACTCAGGAGGGCACCTCTGGGAAAGCCACAGCAAAAGCTTGGGCAGAGGGGCAGCACACAAGAGCGACAGTCACAGGACACACAGATACACAAGTCAAGGTGAGCTGGCTCTTTCCCTAGACAATTATGTAAGCCATCCATTCCGTATTCGCTGAGTGCCTACTACATGCCTAATACATGCTTACTCATTCGGGCATGGGGAGATGGCAGGGACCCTAAGAAGAGAGTAGGCACAGCACATCCACAAAGGAGCAAAGCACCATGGAGGCGAGAGCAGAATGAGGAACAGCCGATGAGGTCAGAAAAGTGGCAGGAGCCAGTGGTGTGCGGCACTGCAGGCCATTTGCAGGACTTCGGCTTTTTCCCGGAGTGAGCTGGAAAAGCATTAGCGTGTAGAAGGGTGACGTGAGCTGGCTTACATGTTTAAAGGATCCCTTGGCTGTTGGGTTGAGAATGGATAGGAGGACAACGACAAGAGCGGAAGTGAGGAGCCCAGTCGGAGGCCGCTGCCATCATCCAGGGAGAGACGCAGTGACCCCAACAGAGGAGGCGTGAGGGAGGGGTGACCAGTGGGCAGATTCCGGCTGTGTTGTGCGAGTGGAGAGAAGAGTGGTCACTGATGGATCAGATGTGGGCCATGAAAGACGGGCCAGAGCGACTCGGTGGGACTGCCTTCTGCGGAGAGGGAGAGGACTGTAGGAGGAGCAAGTTGGGGGGAGCTGGAACCAGGATTTGGTTTCTGCTCAAGCCGGTTTGACATTCCTTTTGGAAATCCAAAGAGAAGCTCAGGAGGCAGTTGAATCTCAGAGACTGAAGTTCAGGCCGAGGACTGGGATGAGGTGGCTATTCGGGAAATGCCTCAATGAAGGTCATGAGATCTGGAGGGAGGAGGGACAGTTCTGCTCGATAAGAGAGGAGACGTTAGCTCAAGACAACTGAAGTTGGCTTCAGAGTCTGGTCAGAATCTTCCTAATGTAACTGCTACTTAGCTGAGTGACTACTGTGTGCCAGATCCTGTGGAAGACACCTTGCCTCTGTCACCTCATTTAATCTTCACTCCCTATCATCCCCATTTTATGGATGGGGAAACTGAAACTCAGTAAGTATTAAGCAGTTCGCCCAAGGACACCCAGCCATTGGTGGCTGAATCGTGATGAGAATGCAACTAGCCTGATTCTCAAACCTGTTGGCCTTTTTAAGCATACTCTCTTCTAAGAGAAAGCAAAATGAATCTGCTTAAAAACAACAATAACAGTAATGATATATACCTAGGGTTTCTTGTGAGAACAAATTAGTTGTTAACTGGAAAGCCCTGTGATAGCTGAGCATTCAATAAACATCTATTTTGATTATTATATGTAGTCAGTATATAAAGAGAAATTAAAATTTTTATGTGGTCGACATATCTAAAGGAAAGCTTGCTCTCAGCTCAGCAAATATTGTTTGAGAGCCCACCATGGGGTAGGGAGGTTAAAATAAATGCAAAATGTGTTTCATGCTTTTAAGGCATGTCAGTTACAATAAAGCACGTGTGATAGAATAAACGTTAGCACAAATGTTATGGAACAAAGAGGAGGAAGAGTAAAAAACACTAAAGAAAATGTACTAAAAATATAAAAAAAAACTGGTGATGAAAATTTGAGAATCTATTATTCTATAATTTTTGTTCTTACCTGTTAACCTATTATCGTTACTGTCTTTTCTTTTTTTTGAGTCAGAGTCTCACTCTGTCACTCAGGCTGGAGTGCAGTGGCATGCTCATGGCCACCCCAGCATCGACCTGCTGGGCTCCGACCATCCTTCCGCCTCAGCCATCCAAGTAGCCGGAACTACAGGGACGCACCACCATGCCTGGCTAATTTTTGGGTTTATTGTAGACACGAGGTCTTGCCAAGCTGCCCAGGCTGGACTCGAACGTGTCTTTTCTTACAAAATGGGTTTTTGGATGGCTGAACATACTAAGTTTGAGAAAGATCACCACATCCCTGTTGTGTTGTTTAGTGTCATCTTCTGGATAAAGAACAAATTATGAAGCAAACTCTCAGAGAGCCACCACTGGTAACCTCAAAGAAAATTATTCTGCATTTTAAAAATGGTTTTCATATAATAATTTATGACTTTTTCCACATCTGGGAGAGGAATAAAAACAGAATGTAGCCCGGGCTCGGTGTCAACCTGTCATCCCAGCACTTCAGGAGGTCGAGGCGAGTGAATTGCCTGAGCCTGTGAGTTCAAGACCAGCCTGGGTAACTTGGCGAGACCATGTCTCTAAAAAAAAATAAAAACAAAAAAAACCAAAATGCAGACTTACAATCATTTACTCAGTTGCCCTGTTCCTTCTGCTGAACCGGGCCTTGTGCAGCTCTGCGCGAGAGCCGAGGCTGAAACCAGTATTTACTGAGCTCCTTCCCTGCACCGGGCACAGTGCTAGGTGCTTCCACATGCTTTATGTATACTCATCCTCATACTGCAACAGGCATTATTAGCCCTATTTTTTGCTGATGAAGAAGCTGAGGCTCAGAAAAGCCCAGCTATCAAGTGGTAGGTCTGTCTGATTCCAAGCTCATCTTTTCAGTATTCCGCTGTGCTGTGTCAGGATATTGACTGATGCGTATCCTTAAGGAGACCAAATGAATGGGGTTGGGTTTGATTTTGAGACAGTGTTGCCCAGGCTGGTCTGAAACTCCTGGGTTCAAGCCATCCTCCTGCCTCAGCCTCCTGAGTAGTTGGAACTATAGGCATGCACCATCGCAGCGACTTTAAATGAATTGTTTTCAGGAAGAAATGCATCGTTCACCACACCCTTGGTAAACACCACAGTCCTTTAGGTGACTCTGTCCCTTAATTTCCAACTAATGCCCATCAGGAGGAGGGAGGGAATTTTCCCCTTCTTGGTGGGGCGTGTTTTAAATTATATGCATTTTACTACAGTAAAAAATGTGAAGAGGTATGCACACGGTGGAGGGTTGGAGATGTGACACATGTCCTCTCGTGCCCCGTGCAGACCAGGGACACACTGCAGCTCCACCTGGCCCCCAAGGCTTTGAGTATGCAACCTCTGCACCAAATGCATGCAGGTTAATCATAGACACAGGAAGGTATGTTGTCTCAGCTCTGGGCTCAACCAATCCTCCTGCCTCAGCCTCTCAAGTAGCTGGGACTACAGGTGTGCACCACCATGCCCAGCTTTATATGAATTGTTTTCAGGAAAAAAATGCAGGAAGATATATTGAGTATCTGATTCAAGGACTCAAGCACTATTATAATTAGTCTAAGTAAAAAACTATAAATTGTACCTAAAAACCATTCATTTTCATTTTAATGGCCTTACATTAACATTCACTCCAAACAACCTCTGAGGGATGACAGAAACCCTTTAAAGGTCTTTCAGACTGTGTAGAAAGAGAACACCTATTACGTGCCAATAATTCCGTGTAAAACTTATGGGGAGGTGTTACTAACATATGCCACTGGGGGTCTGAAGGGTTAAGAGACTTGTCTATATCATACAGCCATCTACTGATAGAGATGGATCGCAAACTCTCATCTGTCTACACAGAGCTGTGACCAAGCTCAAAGCTCATGCTCTTACCACTCTGTTCTCTCTCATGTAAAGATTTTCCAGAAATAAATACAAGAATGGAGTAGGTTCAAGCTCTGGATTCCACCATGCTGATTCCAATGATAGGATATGGCATCAGACGTGTCCCCTTGCTGGTGAAGAAATGTATCATAGTTTTACTTGGTATATTATTATAGTAGTAATCAATACAGTGATATTGAAAACCCTCAGAATATTTCTTTCCTGAATTTATCTGCAAAGGATACAGTTAAAAACCTGAGGACTGGTTAATTCTAGTCATACAAGAGGTGAATTTAGATGAAAGTTGAATTTAGAGATGACAAGGCAGTTTTCACCACTTAGTTTTTTTTTAAAGATCATTTTCATTTTATTTGGAAAGAAAACAGTTCCTCTTGAATTATTCAAGCCAAGCCACAAATACATTTATTAAAGGAACAGGGAAGCTATAACGTGACCAGTAAGAAGCTGCTGAGGACCAGTAGCCCTGAGTGTAAGAATCCAAGAAGGGAACAGGTGGCACCAGCCATGGGCGGAGGCATGGCCCCTCCTAATTACCCAGCAATCCACCGCTAACAGAGGCATCCTAATGGAATCCTACTTTTATAACTTCCTCAGAGCACTTGATTCTTTTTCTCATTCCATCCTCACAAAAATCATGCACAATAAAGCAGGACTTTCCAGTACTGTTTTACCATATGAAAAACCAAGGCCCCTAAGATCGCAAATGAGTACATGGAAACCA